GACTTATTTCCATATGTTTAACCATCTCTGAACCTCTGGAATAAAGTCTACTTGATCATGGTGGATTATCTTTTTGATGTGTTCTTGGATTTGGTTTGTGGGCATTTTTGCATTTATGTTCATAAGAAAAATTCTTTGTTGAATTCTATCCGTAATTCTTTGTTGAGTCTTTGTATGATTTGGATATCAGAGTGACTGTAGCCTCATAAAGTGAACTGAGCAATGTTCCCTCTGTTTCTATTTTGTGGAATAATTTGAGGAGTATTTGCATTAGCTTTTCTTTGAAAGTCTGGTAGAATTCTGTGCTAAAACTATCTGGCTCTGTGCTGTCTTTGGTTAGGAAACTTTTGATGACATCTATTTCTTGAGGGGTTATAGGCTTTTTAAAATTGTTTATCTGATCTTGATTTTATTTTGGTAAGTGATATAGAACAAAAATTATTCATTTCTTTTAGATTTTCCAATTTGGTGGAATATAGGTTTTTGAAGTATAACCTAGTGAATCTTTCGATTTTCTCAGTGTCTGTTGTTATGTCCCCTTTCAGTTTTGATTTTGCTAATTTGGATTTCTCGCTGTCTTCGTTAGTAGACTCTAATCAACTTTTTGTTTTATTAATTTTTCATATTCTCTTAGTTTCTACTTTATTGATTTCAGCCTCAGCTTGATTATTTCCTGCTGTCTATTCCTCTTGGGTGTGGTTGCTTCTTTCTGTTCTAGAGCTTTCAGGCGTGGTGTTAAGTTGCTAGTATGAGATCTCTTCAATTTTTTCATGTAGGCATGCTCATGCTATGAACTTTTCTTCTAGTATTACTTACATTGTTTGGGGTATGTTGTGTATTCATTTTCATTGGATTCTAGGAAGACTTTGATTTCTTTTTTTATTTCTACGCTACCCAGTAGTCATTCAGTTTCCATGAGTTTGTAAGCTTTCTGTTGTTGAAATCCAGCATTAATCCATAGTGGTCTGATAGGATGCAGGGAGTTATTTCTACTTTCTTTGATCTGTTGAAATTTGTTTTGTGTCTGAGTATGTGGTCAATTTTAGGGAAAGTTCTGTGAGGTGCTGAGAGAAAGGTATATTCTTTTGGGTTTGGGTGAAATGTTCTGTAAAAAATATGTTGGGTCCATTTGATTTATAACACCTGCTAGCTACAGTTTTTCTTTTTTTAGTTTTTGTCTAGATGACCTGTCCATGATGAGAGTAGGGTATTTCAGCTTCCTATTATCAGTGTGTGAGGGTCAGTATGTGATTTAAGCTTTAGTAATGTTTCTTTTACAAACGTAGGTGCCGTTGCATTTGGGGTAAGAATTGAAAGGTCACTTTTGTGAATTTTTCCTTCGATGAGTATGAATTGTCCTTCTCCATTTAGTTTGTTTTTTAAATGGCTGCAACAGCTTACTTCTTAGGTTAATTTTCTTGGAAAATCTTTTTCTAGTCCTTTAGTCTGAGGTAACTTCTATCTTTGATGTTGAGGTATGCTTCTTGTATGCAACTGAGGGATAGATCCTGTTTTCACATCCACTCTGTTAATCAGTGTCTTTTTATTGGTGAACTGAGTCCATTGATATTTAGATATATCAATGATCAATGATCGTTAATTCCTGTTATTTTGCTGTTGTTGTTGGTGTGTGTATGCTTTCCTTCTTTTGATTTTGTTGGTGTGAGATTATTTATTTCCTGTGTCTTCATGGATTTAGTTAACTTCCTTGGGTTAAAGTTTTTCTTTTAGTACCTTATGTAGGGCTAGCTTTGTAGATAAATGTTGTTTAAATTTGGCTTTATCATGAAATATCTTATTTCCTCCATCTATGGTGACTGAAAGTTTTGCAGGGATAGTAGTCTGGGCTGACATTTATGGTCTCTTAGAGTCTGCAGCACATAAGTCCAGCCCTTTTGGTTTTAGAGCCTCCATTGAGAAATCAGATGTAATTCCAATATGTCTCCCTTTATATGTTAGTCTTTTTCCTTGCAGTGTTTAATATTCTTTCTTTGTTCTGTACATTTCATGTTTAAATTATTGTGTAGCAAGGGGGCTTTCTTTTCTGAGTCAACCTATTTGATGTTATGCATGCTTTTCGTACCTTTATAAACATCTTCTTCTTTAGGTTAGGGACTATTTTTTTTTTTTTTGTGATTTTGTTGAAAATATTTTCAGGGCTTTCCAGCTGGAATTTTCTCCTTTCTTTACTCCTATTTCTGGATGTTTTGTGTCAGAAGATTTTTAGAGTTAACATTTTCTTTGAGTGATGCATTCATTTGTTTCACAGTATCAATGCCTGAGATTCTTTCTTCCATCTGTGTATTCTGTTGGTGAAGCTTGCCTCTGTAGTTCCTGTTCAAATTTCTAAATTTTTTATTTCCAGAATTCCCTTAGTTTGTTCTTTTTTTTTTTAATTATATCTATTTCCATTTTCCTGTCTTGAACAGTTTTATTCATTTCCTTCAACTGTTTGCTTTTTCTTGGCTTTCTTTAAGGGATTTATTTATTCCTCTAGTTTTTTGTTTGTCTTTTCCTGGATTTCTTTAAGGGATTTATTCATTTCCTGTTTAATCTTCCTATCTCATCTTCATATAGTTGGTTTTAAGGTCTTTTTCTTGTGCCTTATCTGTGTTGGAATATTCAGGGCTTGTGGTAGTAGGATGTTTATAGTGGTAACATACTACCTTGCCTGTTGCTGATTGTGTTTCTACACTAGTATCTATGCATCTGGGTTTCAGGTGATTATAGGTCTAGGTGCTAATTTCTGAATTTGTTTTTGTTGGATGGACGCTTTGTTCCTTGTTTTTCTTTTTGTTGTTGTTGTTTTGTTTCATCTCTGGTTTTCTGACAAGTGTGTCCTGCTATTGAGCAGGAGCTTTCAACCTGAATTGGGGGCTGACTTCTAGCAGCCAGAATGGCTTCTGGTTGAGTAGAGGGTCTCTGATTGAATTGGGATCTGAGACAGGGTTAAGAGGGGAGGGGATTGAGGAGAGGGTGGGAGTCACTGAGAGAGCTGTGGAGGTCCATGGGTGGGTGTCCTTTTTGGACTTCTGAATGCTGGTATGGCCTCTGGTTGAGGAGCTGTGTTTTAGTTTAAAAGAGGGTATATTTGAATTCTGTTCTTTGTTTCTTTTGAAATTAAAAGGGGGCTTATGCTAAATTTTAAGGGGTTTTGAGTCACTAGTGTTGAGCTGTTTGCTGTTTTATTTCTGCTACATAGGGCTTATTTTGTAACCCTCAAGGGTTGAGTAGAGCTACTAACCTGATGAGGCGGAGGCGGAGGCGGAGGCGGAGGCGGAGGCGGAGGCGGAGGC